TTAACAGAATTTTTCTTTCTTGTTTCTGTTCCTATTAACGCCTTCGCGAATTAGCAGTTTAAAGGGAAATTTTGGAATGTGAGGAAGAGAAGCTTGTGTGAATATCATAGCCTGCGTGTCCTAGAGACCAAAAGTTCCAAAGAACTGAGCTACATCCAAAGCCAAGCAGGCGAGGGACAGGGGACGCAGAACGGCGTCGGGGTTGAGTGAGCCGTGTCCTGGAAGTGCCTCGGAGCAGGGCCAGGCCATGCTGTCTGTCTGCTTCGGCTGTTTCGATGGTCACAGTGCAGTCCACAGGCCACATCAGAATCGCCAAAGGGCCCAAACCCATGACCTCAGAGTCTGTGGAGCCAGGATTCCGCGTTTCACAGCCTCCCCCACAGTCTGTTCTGCCAGCACCACCCACCCTCTGGGAGCCCAGGAGCAGGCCGGCTGGAACCTCTTCCTGTCTCCAGCTCCTCTGCGTGTCCTGGGGCATGCCAGGGAGCGGAAACTGGCAGTGCTGCCTCTAAACTGAAACTGGAAAATGAAACTGGAAATCACAGCCTCACACCCCCGGGTGCTGGGCTTTCCTTTCCACAGGGAGAGTCCCCGAGGGAGAAAGAAGCGCACCAGGCGGCGGAGGGCAGCGGGGAGGGAGGGGGGGACGTGCAGCCTGGCGGCTGATCGGCCTCGGTGCTGAGAGTCGGGCCGGCTCACTGTCAGCCCTGGGAGGCTTTCCTTTCCAGGGCAATTAGGAAAAATTAATTTCATGCTCATGTGGAAATGCTTTTGAGCGGTACTTTAGGAGTAAATCTAGCCCACCTCATGTCGGCTGCCTTAACCCCCTGCCTGATGGGAGGCTCCCCCACGCGCACCAGGGCCTTGCTGAAGGAAGGAGGCGCTTTCGCAAACAGTTGGAGCTTAACTGAGGATCAAAGACCAAAAACTCTGGGCTCCCTTCTCCTCTAGCTACACACACACACACACACACACACACACACACACACACACGCGCGCGCGCGCGCGCGCACAAGGAGGCACAATCGGGAACAGCAGCTGCCAGCAGAGGCACTGCTGTAGGGCAACTCTCTTGGAAACAGCAGATTTCCTGAAGGGACTGGAATGCAGGGGAGGAGCGAGGGGGAGAGTCAAGAACCCAGCCCTCTGCCAGCTTCACCCTGTCCCTGTCCGCCTCCCTGTCCGCCCCTTCTCACCTCTTCTCCCAGGAGGAGCCACTATCCTGACCCCCGAACCCCAAGCCCTTCTTAGGTTAAGACCCCTAAAGTCAAGACCCCATCACCCTATATTTGTCAGATAGCTGTGTGATTGTTTGCCGAATGTCTGCCTCCCTCACCAAACTAAACTGTAAGGCCCAGCCCCGGTCTGGATTGTTAGTTGTGTGTCCCCAGGCCCTGGAATACCTCCTGGCATGGACGCACAAAGATCTGTCCAGTGAGCAGTGAGTGAGGGCGGGCCTGCCGAGCCGGAGGAGGACGGCAGGGGCTGGGGGTCTCCAAGTGGCTTCCCTTGAGGCCATGTGGACAGATGCCCCTGCTGTGCTGCCCCAGTCCCCAGTATGTGCAGCATCTGAGGGCTCAGCAGGGAGAAGTGGGGGGCTGGGGTGGTCACCCGTGGTCTCCCCTTCCTGTCCCTGTGTGACCCTTTCTTTACCTGCACAGACGGGCTTCCACAGAGTCAGGAGCTCGTGTCTCCTATGTCCCCAAGGAGAGAGGGGACACCTTAACCAGCCAGGAGTTAGGAGACAAGCGGCCTTGAGTCTTAATGGAGATTTTTCTTTTTCAGCACTAGGTATTGAACCCAGGGTCTTCACCCAGAGCTACGCACAGACCCCTTTAAGACAGGGTCTTGTTGGGTTCTAGGTTGCTCAGGCTGGGGTGGCACTCGCCATCCTACCATCTCAGTCTCCCAGGGGGCTGGGATGATGACAGTGATTTTTAGAGAGGAAGCAGGGGCAGGTGCTGGGGCAGGGTCTCCGGGCAGTGTAGGCTGGGAGGCAGCCTTGGCTTCAGGCCCCACCCACCTCGCTGTCTAACAGGTGACAGGACTGGGTCTGAGCTATCTGGAATAAAACATCCAGCTCTGTGATTCATGGGCTGTATACCCTTGAGTTAGTGACTGAATCTTTGCCTTGTTCGTCTCTTCTGTAAAATGGGAGCAGTTACGGTGAGTTCTGTGCCTGAATTCATGTTCTTGGTACAGGATGAGGGCTTAGTCAGCAGTCATTATTGGCATCTTAGCCCGGGTTGTGAGATCCCCTGAGCTGGCGATCAGCGCAGCCCCTGGACTGATAGCACCATGCAAATGTGAGGACCCAAGGAGCGTTATTTTGGAAATACCGAAGCACAGCTTCCTCCCACATTTGTCTAGGGAGGGACAACAGTTTTACTTATTTATTGTTAAGCTAGAAGATGCACCAAAGGGAGGTGACAAACCGAAACCACCGACCGTTTGAACTGCAGGAGCACCGAAGCCATGGGCCGGTGCAGATGGTGAGGGCCAGGCAGGCCCACTTCCTCCCTGCCTGCTAGGCCTCTTCCTCACACTAGCCAGCTTCCCAAGGCTGCAGGAAGTGGGCCAAGGAGCAGGCCCTCCCCGTGCGGGGGAGGCCCAGGCAGGGTTGGCTACTGCCAGCGCCAGGACAGACTCTTCGAGGTCCCTCTGGGTCCTGGGCACCACGCAGCAGCCTCTGCCCCCTCCACATCTGGGCCTGCCCAGAGTCTCCTCTCTTAGGGTAGTGAGCTTTGGCCAAAAGGCATCCACGCCAGAAAGAGGCAGGCTGGAGAGGAGAAGAGCCAAATCTCTTCTCAGAGGAAATGCACTTGCGGTTTTGAGACATTTTACATCTGTGGTTGGCGTTTCCCAGGGTTCTCAGAGGTGACAGCAGGGTCAGCCCCACGCCACCAAATAAGGTTTGCAGTGACCTTAGCAACAGGCTTCACTGCCCATTGGCTGCCACTGCAGCCGCCCGCCAATGTGGTCTCACGAAGGCAACGCTGGAACCTGGGCAGTGCTTCCGCGTGTGCAGAGACCCAGCTCTGCTGTCAGAAATCACTGTCCTCAGAGCCCCACAGATAGGGACAGCGAGCTGGACAAAGGTGGACAAGGGGGTGGGGCGCGACTGCCCGGCATCTGGGTTTCAGAGTCCACCTGACTGATCCTCACGGTAGCAAACCTATAGCCTTGGCGCAGTGGCCTGGTCCCAGCTTGCCAGCGGGACCCCCCCCATCACATGCCCAGGCTCATTCTTTCTTTCTTTTTTTTTTGGTACTGGGGATCGAACTTGGGACCTTGTGCTTGCAAGGCAGGTGGCAGAACCACTGAACTAAATCCCTGGCCCCACATGATATTTTTTAACTCTTACATAACCCTGTGAGCCAGTGAGTCTCATTTCATAGACATGGAGGCTAAAGGAAGTTAGGTACTAGCTCAGCGTTGCACCACTAACAAGTAGAAAAGCCACAATTTAAACCCAGTTGAAACAAGTCCATGTCACATGCTATTAACCGTTGCACTGCTTTGCAGTAACTCAGTGTCTCTGTGTCTTCATGTTGGGACCTGGGGGTAATTATACCTCCCAGAGTAGGGGTGAGGATCGCGTGGAGTGACTTATGCCTGAGAAACTAATGCAGAGTAGTGGGTTATCCAACTGTATACCACGCCAGTGGTGGCTTTGGTGTCCCCCAGCCATGTTCTGCTAGTAGCTTGCTTGTTTCTCTGCCACAGCGAAGCATGCTGTTGAAACACTGAGGTTTATGGACCAGACTTCGCTGTGGCCCTCATATTTGGTTTCCACTTCCTCTTTCTTGACTGTCCCCCACCCCCACCCCACTGCATCCCGGACATGGGGAGCCAGAGGAGACTGCTACTCTGGAGGCCCCCAGCCTGAGTGCTGGAGAAGACAGGGTTGGCTGGGCTGGAAGGGGCAAGATCCTCAGGTGAGAAGCTGGAGAGGTCCAACTGTTAGGGCAAGCATCCCTCAACTCCTATACTCCAGGCAGTGCTGGGAGTCACAGCACTGTTTCTCTGAGAGTGTTTTCAGAATTAAAAAGTATACACGTGATCTGGTAAAGCTGACAACACATATACCCTTTACTCCTCCCCATGTGCCCCAGTAAATTCACACAGCACCCCAAGCATCCAGTGTCCATCAACAGCAGACAGTACAAATAAACCATGTGGCATTTCTCCAGTGAGAACAAGGCAGCTATAGCAACTTGCCATGGCTGTAATACTGGGTAATAATACTGTAATGGTGAATGGCTCTTATCAACATAGTGAAGAGCAAAAGAATACCTATAGTCCAGGCATGATGGTGCACACCTGTAATCCCAGCACTCTGGAAGCTCAGCCTGGGCAATTTAGGAATTTAGGAAGACCCTATCTTAAATAAATAAATAAATAAATAAATTTTAAAAAATAAAATAAAAAGGCTGGGGATGTAGCGCAGTGCAAAGGCCCTGGGTTAACTGTATTTTTTTTTTTTTCAAAGAAAAACAACTGCAATTCCTTTCATGAAAAGTTTAACAGGGACTGGGGATTTAGCTCAGTTGCATGGCTGCCTCACAGGTACAAGGTCCTGAGTTTGATCCCCGGTAATGAGGGAAAAAAAAACGTTTAACAACTGGCAAAACTCGACTGTATTGTTAAGTACATCTGCAAGAAGGCCAAGCTATAAAAAGCACAGGAATTGCCAGGGATTTAGCTCAGTGTTTCTGCCACCTGCCTTGCAAGCACAAGGTCCCCAGTTTGATCCCTAATACCAAAAAAAAAAGAAAAAAGCACAGAAATTATCCTAAATGTCACTTTAGTCATGTGATTAATAGAAGCACACAGGATTTGGGGATGCTCTGTGTGCTACCTCTCAGCCTGAACGGTGGTTATATAGCAATTTGCTTCATGATTATTTGTTAAACTGCGCATATATTTTACGTAATTTTCTGCAAAAGTATTGTTTGAGAATAAAAAATAAAAAGTGCATGTGAATCTCTCCTCGCCAGGACCAGTGCTTTGAATGGACTACAGCCCAATGGGTCTGTCCCAGTGCTGCTCCTTTACTGAGACAGCACTGCGGAGTGCCACCCTGCTTGCTATGCACAGCTGCTCTGTGGATTGAAGATGAAGATTCGGTGGAGTGAAGGACTGGAGGACTCCTGTGACATTTTACTGCAGGCAGGGAAGGTGAGTAGTGTGGGAAAAAGGAATGGCAGAAACCACGGCCAAGATCTGTCTGGACTTCAGGGGACTCGTGCACATGAGCTTGGCATTCTCTCAGGGTATAGATCTTGTTTTATTTTTCCTCATTTCCCAGATCTGATGCAGGCTTTGCCTGACAGTTAACAAACGGTGTCAAGTGGGTGTGCAGTGTGTGCTGTAGGAAATAAGGGCTCACTAGGACCCTGCTGGACAGGCCGCCCACCGGCTCCCACTTCTCTGGAGGGCCTAGCAGACAGCCACCAGCAGGAGCAGCCTCTCAGGACGCCCAGAGCTGCTGCCTGCCAGCCCTTCGCACACGAGCCCTGCTGACAGGGCTCAGACAGGGTTCCTTTCTCCTCTCCAAGCTGAACGTGGCCAGTCCACAGTTCCTTAACATACTGACTGTCCCTCCAGTCTGGAGAGGCACAGAAGGATCCAGGTGTCGTCTGGACAGGCAGAGCATGGATGAGGATTGAAGATTTAGGTCTGCATGCTTCCTTCGGCCGTCAGTGTGGCTTCCAGTGCTGCAGGAAGGCTCAGGGTTGCTGCCCGTTGTCTTTCTTGCTTTGGTGTTCTCGTGGCCTTTATGTAGGTATATTGTGCTATAAAACCTCATGTTGTAGGGCTGGGGACTTAGCTCAGTGGTTCTGCCTCTTACCTTGTAAGTGCAAGGTCCTGAGTTCAATCCCCAATACCAAAACACCCCCCAAAAACCAAACCTCATGTTGTAGTTCTTGTGAGCAGAGTAGTTTTCCCTCCACAATCCTGGAAACTCCCCGAAGGCAGCTGGCTGGTGGTGGGCACTCCATTAAATGTTAGCTAGTACTATTTGCTTTGTTATTTTCTCATTGCAATGGACGACGTTCATATCATTTAATGAGCATGTGCTGTGTGCCAAAAACTGCTCGATGCTGGAATGCAGCCCTACCTGCGGAGCTCCCAGGCACTTGGGAAGACTGGTTGATTGGATGATGAATCCTGGTTGTAGTCCCTGTGATGAACACCTCTGCTGTCAGACATCACTGGCTGCCTTCTGTGTGCTCAACTTAGAACGCATCCTTCCTGTCCTGGAATATAAGTGGCTGAAGAAGACACCCCTATGGGAGAAAATTCCCTGGACTTTTTAGTGAACTGGCTAGGAGTCGAGTCCTAGCTCTGCTGCAAACCCACTTTGTGCCCATGGGTGAGTTACTTGACCTCTCTGAGTTTCAGTTATCTTATCGATGGGGTGAAATGGGGTGAACAATTATCCCTCAGAGGCACAAGAGGATCAAACCAGGTCACCACACTGCAGAAGTCCATGGCTGCCGTTCACAGTTTAGCCTTTCCAGCCTCTGGTGACTGGGACTCAGGGTGAGCACTCTTTCACCTGCAACCTGAAGTTAAGAGTCAGTAAAAGCAGCTATTGTTACACAGAAGTTAGGGGGAAGCAGGGGTCAGGGCAGGGCAGTAGGCTGGCCAGGCTTGGCCAGGCTTTGTTCTTCAAGGAAGGGCAGGGCTCTGAGAAGTGTGGACTGTAGTCAGGCGAAGGCCAGGCAGCAAGGACCTCGAGGCATGTCTAGGAGAAGCGGCTGGGGAGTGAGGGCTCAGCAAGCTGCACAGGGAGTGGGCCCTTCTCTCTAGGAGCAGCCTGGTTAGGACCAAGGTGAGTGCTTCAGGCACCAAGTTGAGAAGATCCAGACAGCGTCTCGACCAGCACCTTGTCTTCTCAGGCAGACAAGCTGGGAAGTTGTGAGTCTCCAAGGCCACAAGCCCAGGCCCGAGGCCAGAGCCCGGACTCCTGCCTGTGCAGAGGCAAGTCCAAGTCCAGACAGCTCCTCCAGCCTAGTTCATGGCACTGCAGCAGGGAGCCCTGACTCTTCTCCTATGTATAGCTATAATTTTTTTCTGATTGTAAAAGGAATTTTTATTTTTTTATTTATTATTTATTTTTGTTGTTGAGACAGCATCTTGCTCTGCAGTCCAGGCTGGCCTTGAACTCAATACTCACTATGTAGCTGTGGGTGGCCTCAAACTCATGGCAATCCTCCTGCCTCATCCTCCTGAGTGCTGGGATTACAAGCATGTGCTACCACAGCCAGTTTGTAAAGGAATTATAAATCACTGTAATTATAGGGCTTTTTTTTTTTTTTTTGAGACACGGTTTCACTGTATAGTTAAGACTGGCCTTGAACTGATTATGTAGCCCAGGCTGTCCTCGAACTCATGGCAATCCCCCTGCTTCAGCCTCGCAAGTGCTGGGATTATAGGTGTGCACCACCAAGCCCTGAATTGTTTTTTGTTTTTTTGAGACAGAGTCTCAACTATGGAAGTTCAGGCTGGCCTTGAACTCACTATGTGGCCCAGGCTGGCCTTGAACTCATGGTGATCCTCCTGCTTCAGCCTCCTGAGTGCTGAGATTACAGACATGAGCCACTATGTCTGGCTTGGGCTTTTAAACTATAGAAATATAAAGAAGAAAATATAGTCACTTATAACCCACTATCCAGGGACCATGAGTATTACAGTGTAATTCCTTTCTCTACATATTACACATAAAACTATATATTATATATTCATTAGATTAGAGTTGTATGTAGTTTCATGTTCCACCTTTTCCATATAAAATTGTGTGTTTTCTGGGAAGGAAGGACTGTTTTTAATGCAGACGGAACTCTAGAAAACATTTTCCTTAAAAACAAAAAAATAGCGAGCCCATTCTTCAGCGGCCGGAGGATATCCTGTGGAGCAGTGCAGCGCCCGGCCTCCCATCCTGTGTGAACTGCAAGGCAGCGGCTGTGGCCCTGAGGCCCTCTTCTCTCCCAGGCCAGGCTGCGCCTCCTGCTCACAGGTGAGAGTTTGGATGAGGCTGCATGGCCTTTCCTTCTCCAACAGGATGCTGGGATCATCCACCCCTCAGACACTATTCATTAATAACAGCAGCACACACGCCTTCTCCAGTGTCTCACCTGAGACGTGAGCACCCTGTTCGACAGATCAGGCGAACACTGCTGCACCCACATCGCAGGCAAAGACACTGAAGCTACCAGCCGGCGGCTGCCTATTTATGAGGCCATACAGCTAGTTGTCTGACAAAGCAGGAGCGTTTGCAGATCTGCCTGGCATCTAATTCAGTGACTTTTTCTTCAAGCTTTTTTCTTTCCTTTTTAGTTCTACTTTTCCTAAGCCAAACTGGAGGCCAGGGCACCGAGAACGTCGAGATGGCATATTTCCAGAGTGTGGAGGAGACAGACTGTACCGCAGGAGCCTGGAGCCAGGCCCCAAAGGTTCTGCTGGCTGTCCCAGGGGCCTGCCCTTACGACAGCCCACCCGGGACATCTCGGAGCTTGTATCTCTGCTCATCAGAAGTTGGAGGAGTGGGTTCGAGGGGGCAGCTGTTTCCTATAAAAATGTCCAGTAGAGGTAATGTCCTTGGGACAAACTCTTTTTTTTTCTATACTGGGGATGGAACATACAGCCTTCACTCTGAACTGTATCCTCAGCTCCCTTTAAAAAAAAAAATTATTTTGAGAAAGGGTTTTGATAAGTGCTAAATTGCCCAGGGTGGGCTCCAACTTGCAGTGCTGGCCTCCCAAAGTACAGGGATTACTGCTGGACACGATGCCCGGTTGGTCATCCTTTTTTTTGGGGGGGAGGGTACCGGGGATTGTACTCCAGACCTTGTGCTTTCGAGGCAGGCGCCGGAACCACTGAGCTAAATCCCCGGCCCTGGTTGGTCATCCTTTTTGACACCCAAGCTAAGGAGGCTCATTCTGTGCCTGAGGCTCCAGTGTCTCGCATTCTGCCCGCTGGAATACGGTCTCTCAGAGGGGCTGTGGAGCCTCGTGTGGTCGACTCCAACCAAGGTGCAGGCATTTGGGGAGCGTCGTCCCCAGGTAATTCCTGTGTGTCCATTTCCTGTTACTGAGACAAATTACTATAAACTTGGTGTCTTAGAAAAACACACATCTATTTTCTTAAAGTTCTGAGGGCCAGAAATCCAAAATAAGTCTCAGTGGGCTAAACTCAAGGTGTCAGCGGGAATGTGTTAATCTCCACCGAGGCTCTGTGCCTGTCCCAGGGTCAAGAGGCTCCACGCGTTCTGCCCTGTGGCTCCTTCCTCTGACTTCAAGTCCAGCAGTGGCTGGTCAGGACTTCCACATAATGCCATCTCTCAGATTCTACCTCTCCTGCCTCCCTCTTCCCTGTTTAAGGAGCCCAGTGATTACATTGGGCCCCCCAGACAATTTCTCTGTTTCCCACTTCCAGCAACCTTAATTCTCCATTGCCACGTATCATGGCGCATCCACAGGTCCCACCCACTTGGACGTGGACATCTTTATTCCACCATGGACCGTTATTTTGCACACCCAGCCAACCTCTCCTGTGGCTTTTCCAAGGGTCTCATCCTCAGGCATAGACAGTGGGCTGGGCCAGACCAGTCAGGATGTGCCCACCACTGGCAGAGAGGTCCTTTCTGCCCAGACACCCTCCCTGCTTTAGCTCACCTCCTCTTCTCTCATCCTCTGCTCCCCCTCTGGCGTAGAGGGAAGCTGGTGAGGCTAGATGCGCCGCGGGAGCCCAGGGAGCTGAGCCCTCCCCGGCCAGACAGCCTGTCTTCCAGGGGCTGGAGCCAGAGCCCAGCCTTTGCGGTCGCGGACTCACAGTCTGAGGGCAGTTGCAGGGTCGGAGGGGCAGGCAGGCACATATCGGAGACACACGTATCCCCTGTGCCTCTCGGCCTCCCTTCCTCAGGTGACAACAGCCTGTCTACCCTCCGGCACTCGGTGGTCCTTTTTGGGGCTGGGACCTTGAGAGGCTCCCAAGGAGGGGAGGCCCCCATCAAATCTGTCCCTGGGTACTGGTGAGGACCTGGGGGATCCAGGACCCCAGCAAGAGGTCTCATCAGCACAGCAGAGCAAAGCAGGAGGAGCTGGACAGGGCCTTCGGTCTTCAAGTATGGTGACCAGTTGGGCTTGGTTTGCCTAAGACTTTCCCACTTTGAGCAGTGGGGGTCCAAGCCCTGGAACTCGGTCAGAGCAAACCGAGACAGCTGGTCACCCTGTCTCCAGGGCCTTTATCACATTGTCTTCCGCTCTGGGTCATCTCCGCTGCTACACAGCCAGCTCTTTGGACTCCTGGATACTAGAAAGACCTGGGGGCTGAGGAAGGACCCCAGGCTCACGCCAGAAAGGAGCAGGCTCTTGCCCCAGCAAGCCCGGCAGAGGAGCCATCAACAGTGAAGACCAAGCTGGTGTCTGCGGGGCACAGAGCTCCCAGGAGCAGTGTGCGTAAGACGGTGAAAAGGAAACCTCTAAACACTTAGCAGCCTGGTCACTTCTGAGTGGTGGATTGCAGGTGGCTTTCATAAATACTTTGAGTTCCCCCTCTGTATTTCTTCCTCTCTGTACAAGTAAGCCATGTTCTTTCTGTATGTTTTTAATAAAAGAAAGCCAGTGGTGACTCAGCCATCCATCTCCAGTCCTGCTGAGGGACACGAGCAGTTGTGCTGGCACCTGTGACCTTGGCTGTGGGCTGGTCATGGCCCCATTCTGCCCGAAGCTCTACTGCAAGGGCAGGGAAGCTACTCCTCCGTGTCCTTCGGCCCCACAGTGCACCCAGGGTCCAGCCTGGCTTGTTCCCTGAGTGAAGACTCAAAAGCCTGATGTGCTCTCTCTTGGCAGAGCAGGGGTGCAGGTGCTGAGGACACACAGGATGTGGCTGGCCATTGGGAGATGCTCTTGAGCACCACTCTGGACTGAGAATGATGGGGAGAGGAGCTCTTGCCTCCAGGCAGCTGGCACCTGGTTGGAGAGCTCGGGTTACCCCACAGACCATGTGGCGCATGGTGGACTGGATGAGGCCTTGCCTGTGAGGATTGTCCGAGGTCGCATAGGGGAGACCCAGGAGCCTCACTGCACTTGTCTTAGAATGGCCAGAGGCCAAAACAGGTTTTCTTGAGTGACCTGAGGCAGCCCCCCAAGCTCGGGGTAAATGGTCTCCCCGTCCCAGAACTCGCTGCTGGACACTTTGTGACAGAAGAGTGGCAAGAACAGTCAGCAAGATGTTCCACTCTTAGACAGCTGGGCACCCTTGGGCCCTCCTCCTTGCCCTCTCCCCTCGTATTCTTTGGGAGTGCCAGGCTCTAGACTTCCTCTGGCTGCCTCCGTCTGGTCTCCTGATACCAAGCAGTTCTCTCCACCCCAAGCCCAGCAAGAGCACTTGGAAGGGAGCCCTGGGTCTCCAGTAGAGGCAGCCACCCCTCCACCTCCTACATACAGGGCCAGCATTCCCCACCCTAGTCCACCCTAGTCCACCATTGTCCTGGTGAGGCCAACATGTGACCTTGTTCATTGTTTTGGAAAAGTAGTAAGTGTTCTGGCCTAATGATCCCTCCCTATTGAACCCAGAACCCAAGCACAACTCCATGTTCACACAACTCCCTTGACCCAGGAAGTCAGCTTTCTCAGAGAAGCCTGGCATGTGCTTCCCCCTCCTTGCCACACCCTCGCCCCTAAGCCAAGATCCTGCTCTATCCCTTCTCCCTAAGCAAAGCTGCAGCTGAGTGTTTTTACTACTTTCTTTTTTTTTTTTGGTGCTGGGGATCGAACTTGGGTCCTTGCGCTTGCACAGCAAGTGGCAAAACCACTGAGTTAAATCCCCAGCCCCTAAACTGAGTGTTTTTAAGTGCTAGGGAAGACCTTGCTAGTCCTGCCTCAATTCTGGGCAGATTTGGGAATCTGAACGTGTGAGGGAAAAGTGATAGCAGAATTGGACACTCCCCACATCCATGTGGTTTTTAAGGGAAAGAGGACAGTAGGAACGGAGACAGGGATTCAGGCCAGTTCAGGATTCGGCCACACAAAGTAGTGAGGGCCCCAACCTGGCGACCTCTTGGCTGGCTATGGAGGCTGGGCAGGCCTCCCCTGAAGGGAAGGTAGTAGTGAGCTCTGGTGTCTACCTGGTGTGGCAACTAGCATCTGCCTTGGGTGCTGCAGTTTCTCAGGAATTAGACCCACTAGAGGCACAGGGCCTGAGCCCGGCCCAAGGCTAGGAGTTAGGATGCACCTCTGAGTGGTCCAGACCTCTGAGGGACCCCAGAGGCCAAAACCGTCTGGCCTAGGGCAGAAGAGCTGGCTTCGCAGACAGAATTGTGTCTAAAAAGTCCCCTTTGACCCCTAGAGCTGAGACCTACCAGGCCAGAGTCCCCTAGAGAAAACGGACTGTGTAGCTAAGCTGCTCCCTGCTCTGAGGCCAAGTATCAAGCCTGTCAGGTCACAGCCCTGGCCTTGGCCTTCAGAACTGCATGCAGGTGGCCTCCCGGGTAGAGGTGGGGAATCACTTCTCTTGGGGCCCAAGCCAAACTCCACCACACTGGGGCCCTGGGGCCTGTGGCGGCAGAGCCATATTGTCTGAAGTACCAGGAGGGGCCAGGGGCGCTGATGCCAAGGCGACACAGCAGCTGAACCTTTGCTGTCTTCCGTCAAGGTCTCCAGATGCCTTCTTGTCATAGGTTCCTAGTGCCCTGTCCCTTGCCGGCACTCCCCAAATTCCCCCCCAGGCTTCAGTTTCTTCCTTTGTAGGCAGCCTGATCTTGTAGAACCCACCTGTGTTCTGGGCATGGACAGGTGTGGGTTGGAATCCAGCTGAGTCACCCGTCGTGGGCAAGCCCCTTGTGCGTGCTGAGCATGGTTTCCTGGTCTGTGAATGAGGCTGGGGGTGGGGAGCTGTGCCTGAGTGACAGTGCAAAGGGGAGCTTGGCACAGTCCCTGGTCCCAAGGGAACACTCGGGTCTGTTTCATTATCCAAGCAGATCTGAGGTCTGCTCTAGTTCTGCTCCTTTCCAAGCTGCAGACTGCACTGAGCCCGCAGAAGTGGGGGCTTCTTCTGCAACTGCCCCCCCACCACCAGAAAAGCAGCAGAAATGGACCTTTGGGAGCCGCCTGGAGCCAGGAAAACCACAGCCAGCCAGCTAGGTCTTCCTCAGACTCGACCCCACAAGGGAGCTCTGGCCGGCGAAGCCGCCTTCCACCCTGCCACGTACCTTCACCTCTGGAAAAGGAGCACACCAGCGCCCCAGGCTCTGGTTTCTGTAAGAGCTGGTGAAAGTGGGGAGAGACCAGTGCTGAGTTCAGATGGATTTTACACATCTTCCGTGTGGAGAGTGAGTGGTTGCCTCAGTTAAGACACAGCATCACGTAGGTCAGACGAAAGTTCCTTGTTGGATGCTTCAACCGGGCTGTGTGGAGGAAACTCCGACCCCATGCAAGAGTGGAGTTTTGGGTCTGGGCCAACAGTGAGAAAGACGGCCCACTGGTCGCAGAGAATGACAACTTGAGCATGACCCAGCTCCATGGACTAGGTGGCATCACTCCCAGAGAAAAGGGCTCCACCTGCAACCAAGCTCAAGGCTTTTCCCAGGATTTCAGCTGGGCCCTGGGCAGACCCCACTGGAGGCTTCCAGAGACCGGGAGCAAGCTCTTATGTGTGGAGGCAGGGTGACCACAACACCCTATACACGTGCATGGAGAGATGCTGAAAGCTGATACTCTAAGAAGGGATGATTTTCACATTAGCCTTCAGCTTTCATCCTACTGCAAGTAGCTGAATAAATAAACCAACCCGATTAAAGTAACACCTTTGGAATAAAACAAGGAAACTCCTCTGGCTGATGAGAAATGCCCTCCAGTGTCTGTAAACTTGGTTCATCATGGGTGTGCCTGAGACTAGCTGGTGTACCTGAAATCCCCCTTTGATACTTTACCCCATTGCAAAGTGGCCCTCAATGACCATAATGTCACAGTAATCCCAACAAAGCTCATCTTTCAATGACCTCCTAGCTCCTTCAACCAAGAACTTCCATTCTGAGTGCTTAGATTGAAAATCTTGGGAATTACCTACCCTTAGGAAGCACTGACAAGTCCTGAATGATCTTAAACTTTTAGGCCCAAATTTGGTTCAGATTATACTGAGGCTGATCCTTTCCAGACTCTGTTTGCTAATGAGATAGTCCCAGCTGCCATCACCTTTAGGTCTGACTTCTAGGCCTGGGCCGAGGTTCACAGTGAGATGTGATGCGACAGCTCCCTATCCTGTTAGGTCGGTCCCTATCACACATGCTCTTCCCTGGAGCCCAGCTGCCTTGCAATTTTGGGTGCAGAGTTTTAGGTTCCTTCTCTGGACATTCCAATGGGTTGGAACCAAGAATTAGTGATCAGATCTATCTTGGTTCTGGAGGTTGGAAGCCAATGGACATAATTCCTTTCATGTTCTGGTAATATACATGTGGTAAATTTTGCTTATTAGAACTTGGAAGATTTCTACAGATGCCTGGGACTTCATCAGACCCATGCCTACTCTCCATCAGGGATCAGGTTGAAGGATAAGAACAGTCAGAAGCAGACCCTACTGTTTGTTATGGGTTGCCTCACTTCCTCACCATTACCCTGGCTTCATGCCATTCCCCCAGCCATCATTAACCACTAGAAGAACACCTACTAAAAAGCCCTAGGTAGAAGCCATAGGAAGCTAACCACCACAATCTAGTTCTTAACAAGGGCTGGAGGAGCTGGGAAATGCCATGTTGTCCATCTCCCTGCTCCCAGCTGAGGCTGCTCTTGAAAACTCCAAGTGGATCTCATGATGGACAGGGCTTGTGACTGGGGTTTGTGAAGACACCAGCGTAAGAATACTCATCCAGTAGGAGCCCACCTGCCCCTCACATGGCATTTCTGAGATCAGGGAACTCCATTTCCTGAGCTTGCCAGAGAATGTCAGTCCAACTTTTGCCCATTTTCCAGTTTCCCCATCATTTTCTCACTCAGCCTTCCCTTCTCGTCCAACCAAGGGTCCTCAATCCTCCCAGGGCACTGGTCCCTTGGAAGTCCCAGTCCCAGTGGTGTCTGGGGGTGAGGATATGGGAGATGTGTCCCTGAGCAACACTTCCTGCCATGACCCCATCCCCTCGGCAGTGTTGGCGATCCAGCCACCCTACCCACTACAGGGTGCTATTCATACCAGGGAGCCAGAGACCAGGAAGGGAGATGGGAACGCCCATCTCTAGACCTTCCACTCACATTCCTGTGACTTGGGCCTTACCTAAGGGGGATTGTCATTTATTGGTGATTCCCTATGGTTCTCAGATACTGTCCTAGTCAAATACGCTGATCAGATTCTGTACACTATCTCAGGTGGAACTCTGGTAAGATGTGTTTAAGGGTTTTTATTTTTTGGTACCGGAGATTGAACTCGGGTCCTTGCGTTTGCACAGCAGGCGGCCAAACCACTGAGCTAAATCCCCGGCCCCCTGGATGTGTTTAGAAAATCTGCCTCCCAAGGTCTTAATGCATTTGTGCATGGAGCTGTTGTGAAACACTGCAGGGCTGGTATTCAGCACCTATACCATTATTGTTCTTTTTTGGTACCGCGGATTGAACTCAGTGTTCGTTTTTAAGTCTTAAACTGGGAAGTAAATAGCCCTAAACCCCTTCCCCAGTGTCCTCCAACCACCAAGCTCCTCACCGAGATCTGTTCCCAAGCCACTATCTACTTGCACTGCCCAAAAAAGGCAACCACTGGCCACGTGAGGCCATTTAATTTTAATTAAAATTTAAAATTGGTCCTGATTGTCACTGACCTCAATTTGCACACGTGGCTACCATACTGAGCAGTGGAGTCGGGACATTCCCATCACGGTATTAACTGTACAGTAAGCCATGCCAGTGTAGCAGGCCTCAGAGACCTTTCTTGGCTATTGCCTGTTCCTATTATGTGTGACTGTGTCATACTTATTAACTTTGTGAAATAGCACCTGCATGTTCTGCAGGACACAGTCCATGCATGACACATTCCTAAAACCTAACACCCACCGCTGTCCGGGCCCCTGGACCCTGAATCAACTCCTAACTAGGGCTATACGGTGAAGGACAAGGAAGCTATGATTACGTGGGCATGTCCCTGAGACATGACTGTCCCCTCCTCCCACCACCTTCTCTGACTGTAACTGGAAGGATTCACATGGATGCACGTCAGTGCTCCCCCAACTGCAGGCTCCGGCAGGACGCCAATGATGAGTCCACCAGAATGTTCCCATACAAGTAAAGCCAGTGATAATTTCTTTGTAAATAAAAGGCCACACCCCTTATAAACAATTGACTTTTTATAAAATGATAAATGTACATATTTACACACACGTCTCTATTTGGCCACACGAGACTCAAGTGGCTAGATGACGTTTCTGATTCTGTCACACCTGGCGCTCACACACCCCTCCCTGGGCCTGCTGAGGGCTGCCGGGGCCCGATGGGGTGGTGGGCACGGGGCAAGGCACTGTATAAATAAATGCAAAGCGCAAGAACTTGGGGAGTTAGTGTACACCTCGAGGAGGAAATGCGGCAAGGTCCACAAGAGAAAGTGCCACGTTTCCTCCAAGGCCCTCAGCCCGGGCAAAGAGCAGGGCAGAGCTGCTCTGAGGCCGAGGGGCACCGCCACATGGGGTCCCTTCCTCCTTCACATTTCACTGGCTTTGGAACAGTCCCCAGGGCTCGGCTGGGAAGGGAGGTGGTTCTTTGGGAGTAGATCCACTTAGTGCAATTGTCTCTTAGTGCAGAGCCAGCCCTGGGGTGGGTGCTGTGCTCCTGAGGTCACTGGCCTGTCCCCTGGGGCAGCTCAGTGTCAGCGAGACCCTCTCCAGTCCAAGGCTCCACCTGAGTCACCAATCTCAAAACCCCAACGCCCTCTTCCCAAGAGGCAAAGCCAGCTTCACCCCACGGGACAAGCCCAGTCCCTGGCCTGCAGGTCCATGGGGGGAAGATGCCATCCCTGCTTGGCAGAGGAGTCACGATTTGCTATGTTGAGGGGCTGCAGGGGCAGCTTCTCTGCACCACAACCACCATGATGCCAGGTCCTGCTTGTCTAGAGGAGTGAGGGGCTCAGGGACCCAGCTACGGTGCACAAGGAATGGCCTGGATGGAGGGCAGCCTGACTGGGGTGAGCATGCTGTCCAGCCAGCTGGGGTCCATGTTCCTCAGATCTGTGAAGACACGGTGTAGGCTCAGCCCAATATCACCTGGAAGGGAGAACAAAATTGTATGAGCAGGGGATGGGGGGCAGAAGGTGGGCTTCCCCCTGCCACCTACTCACAGCTCTACCCCTGCAAGCCTTGGACACGGCCCCTGGTGCCCACACCTCAGCACAGCAAGCACCACCATCTGTAGGTGACCCCCAGAGCAGCAGCTCTGTACAAGCTCTCACAAGCTGCCTGTACCCATCCCGGTGAGAAGAATGCTTTACCTCACTGTGCCCTGGCCCTGCCCTCAAGCATTTCCCAACCCCACATACTTCTCCTTCTCTAAGAATTGCTAAGGGCCAGGGCATAATGACATGTCTATAATCTTGGCACTCTGGGAGGCTGAGCCAAGAGGATCTTAAGGTAAACCCCGACCGGGCAACTTAGTGACTGGGACTCTGTCTCAAAGTTTTTAAGTCTGGGGAGGTAGTTCACTGCAAAGGCCCTGCATTCAGTCCTCAGTATGGCAACGGAAAAAAAGGACAGAGCAGCCACAAGGTTCTAGGGGCCTCTTACCCGCAGGGCTGTCAGTTTCTGGCTCCTCCTTGCAGCTGAAGTCTCCATAGACAGATGCAGGCTGAGCTCCAGGTTCATTGAGCAGGTACCCCTTCCCATCCACATTTGTGGGCTGCCACTCTGACTGCTCCAAGAGCTAGGGGAAGAGGGGACGTCAGCTGCCTTCCTGCTGCCTATATTTCCAATCAGGGTCCCAACCCCAGCGGCACGCCCAGACTCTCAGTGACTTCCCTTAACTGGGTAAGAACACAGCAGTGGCAGAGAAGCTTAAAGCAAGATGAGCACAACAAGAAAAGACAACCGTAAGAGCTACAGAAAGAACTATGCCCACATCTCAATTTTCTGTGCTGCCAGGGAAGAGTCAAGGTAAAACCACCTCAAAATCTTTTTTATATTCACTTTAGAACCGCGCCTGCCTCACAAGCACAAGGTTTTGAGTTTGATCCCCAGTACCAAAAAAAAAACCAAACCATAACTGAAGTAGAAAAAAACCAAGATAATTTGATTCAAACTTTTTTCTAATCCATCACATTATAGATCCCAGAGGCAGATTACTGAAACCTGATGTGCATTTCCCAAACTAACGGGGCACGTTGGGACAGAGGACAGAGTCAGAGACCCAGCACGGATGGCAGCTGACTCACTGAGCTGCCTGGGCCCCGAGGCCTCCCAGCTGCCCTCCACTACCCAGCATCTTCCCCACCAGCCAAGAAAGGCAGCGAGAACTGTAAGCAGCCAGGTGGTGACAGCAGCTGCCCACACTGGTTTGGAGTTCTCACTGGCTGTCTCTCTCCTCGATGAGAAACAGCCACTGCAAGAGTACCCAGGAAGGAAGGGGGTTTACCTTCATGATGTCCTCTGGGATCTTCCCTTCCTCATCCTCGTCTGTTGCAGCTGTGAATGGGGAGAGCAGAAAGGTTGTCTGGCAGTCAGCCACGCTTGGCCTGCACCTGCAGCCCCACAAGCTCCCTGTGTTCTTACACACACCAGACACATACCAGCCTCCCAGGACGTCTGCCTGCCACTGAGATTCCCCAACAGGACACAGGCTGGTGACTCAGCCTCCCAAACCACGAAGCCACACCTCTTCTCACCCCTTCGCTTCCTTCCTCACCCTCAGACACTAGGCTGCAGAGGATTCCGCACAACTAGCAACCTTTGACCCCCTTCCCTGGTCTTATTTTCCCACTGTAGCTCTGCAGACTGCTCCAAATTGCTTTCCTGGTTGGTATCCAGCACCTTGCCTCATCCCCACAGGTTCCAGGGCAGGCACTGACTGGCTCTGTCAGCTCAGTGGCAGATGGAGCCTGAGCATCTCTTCTTCCCAGGAGGCCCTTCCCGGAACTCCAATAGTCAAGCGGGTCAGGCCCCGGCAGTACAAACCTTCAGACGTGGAAGGCATGGGTGACACCTGGAAGTTGTACAGGTCACTGGTGCTATCTGGCATGATTTCCACTGGCAGGTGCCAGTCTGGGAGAGTGCTACTGATGGCACATGGCGACAGCGCTGCGGAATGGCAGAGATCGAAGGTCAAGGCTGTGTATTTGGGTAGTCTGCAAGATCCCCAGACCCCTGCCCTGCAGTCTGCTCTAACAAACCTCCCCTGTCAGCGAGATGCTTTCTGGATCCGAGATAAAGAACCATCCCACAACCCACGGGTCCCCAGCCAGCCCCAGCCCCTCACCTGGAGTAAGGGCCCGCTCCCCATCCAGGTCCTGCCCCAGGTAGGCCTGAGCTGTGTAGCTGCTGTGATCGTCAGGCAGGGTGCAGCTGCTGAGTCCATCGGAGAATGCGTCAGGGCTGGAATCCCCACATGACTGCAAAAGGAAAAGGCAGCTCAGGCCCACTGAAGCACCCTTCACCACTCACCGCAGTCCGAAGGAACCAAAAGTCTGGCTGCCTTTGGTCACACTCACCTTCCTCCTGGCCTTGCTCTTGGTGTCACGGCTGGACTTGGACTTTCTCTCTGTGGGACAGACAGGCTGTCAGCTCTGGCAGAGGCAAGCCCTAGATGACCCTCTTTCTCCCGCCTGAGGGCTTCCAGAGGACCCAGAACCCCTGGCTACCTTTCCTCTGGTTCTTAGTGAGAGGTGGGAGCATCCGGTACACCCGAACAGCTGAGCTGCCCTTGTTCCTGCTCTGGTCCTTCACCTCCTCAATGTCTGGCAGGGAGTTCATGGCACAGCGAAAGTTTGCCTTCCACGTCTTGGGATCTGGCTCCTTTTCCCCTGCTTTGTATCGGCCTAGAGAGCAAAACAGTGAAGAGGATCATCAGCTGCCCCCTGGCTTGAGGGGAAGAAGGCAAGAGCACCCTGGACACCCACTCTGGTGAAACCAGCCGTGTTTCTGGGCCACTATGGGCCCTCGGCCATGGGGCTTCTCAAATAGCCAGGCTTGGCTCAAACGTCCAGCAGGTTCAGCAAAGGGCACAACGAGAAGTTCTAGCGCGCTCCTAGGCCCAAGTGTGCTGTCTCCTGGACCATGTCGTCTCCCTGCTTGCTCGATCAGCAGCCAGAGACTAGGGACTGGAGCTGCTCTGGTTTTCCCAAACAAAGAATGGGCAGAGTAGGTAGTAAGAACAGTTGCTAATAGGTGGCTGATGGTTCCAAGCTGGGGCCCGTGCCCCAAGGATAAAAAGAGGCTGCCAACCAGAACCTCAAACCAAGAACTGTGGTCAACATTTGGAAGAAGGGAGACCTGGGCCTCTCTCTCAGTGTCCCGGCTCACAAGGGCTCTCCAGGAGGAACTTTCGTCTAGCCACAGACTGTCCAAAGCCACGCTACGATGTTGGCTTTATGAATCCCTTTGAGGATTTGTAGAAATGATGGGTTGTGTCTTCCAGAAACACAGGTCTGTCCTGCGGCGCCCTCCCCAGTGATTCTGCACGCTAAGGGAGCACAGAAACCACTGGGAGCCTCTGTGTGAACATTAGGGCCACCCGGCTCTTCCCCAGGCCTCTGGCCCAAGTCCCAAGGACACACCTGTATGAATGGCCCAGCTGCGGAAGAGACAGGCATCCTTATTGATGTCCCAGCCATGCTTGGCCGCATGTTTCCACGGGATCTGGAAGATCATCTCCTCCTGAACAACACACAGCTGGGTCAGCTCAGAGACCACAGGCTTTGCAGTTGAGCATGCCCAGCCCCCATGGTCTGGGAAAAGGCTGACTTCCCCTTTTCACCCTGACATCTGCCATGGGCTGACCCGCCTTGACAGTGGCTTAAACAGGCTGCTCTGTCTCTCAGGAGGGGCCCAAGTTCTGATAAAATGTGATACCATCAGCTCAGCACAGCCCCGTCAGCCTGACAGATGTTCGGGGACCCACACAGAGCAGCCTCCCTCCCCCACAGCCCTGGTCTGGAGGCTCTGGGATGCTCCTCTCCGGCTTGTCAGCACCAAGGTGGCTTCCATTAGAAGAGTCTAATCAGGACACCGGGGATCCCCAGGCTCGTACATGGGGGTCCTGGTCACACCCCGAGGAGCCTTGCCCCAGATTTGAGTGCTGACCACCTGTTGACCCTGGCCCTGTACCTCCTTGCCCCCACAATTTTCTCTCCTCTGAAATGAAAAAAACAGGACTGCTTTGAGGAAGAAACAACATAAGCGGGGACATAGTACGGTGCCAGGCACACAGTTAACTGTTAGCCATCATTATTACCATTACTATTATTGCTATTAAGTCTACAGGCTTTATGTTGCCCAAGTGCACCAACTACAGGCTTCTCAAGCCTGAGCAACTGATGCAAAATTAGTCCTTGGGTCCTCTGCTGAGGCAGCCACCATCCTGCCTAGCAGTGCCCACCTATCTGTCTGGCCAGAGTCCTAGAGAATGCTGCATACACAGGGCTCTCCTTCAAGGGGGACAACCCAAGCTTTAAAGACGCTACGAGATTCTTGCTGCTGGAAACTTAAGTGCCTTTAGGTGAGTGTCCTGTCTATATTTTGAGAGGGGGAAAGAGGAAAGCGTTGGGTAAGAAGGCACAAGTCTGGGCCTCACATGTGAGACCCACGGGAGCCGTACCTGTCTGCCTCCTTTCTGCCTCCTTATTATCTCCCTTTCTGAAGATTTGGACCTTTTTAGAGCATGGGTTAAAACGGTAGCAGAAAACCCCAAAGAGTTACACTCACTTTATTAATCCAGATCAGCCCTGGGATTTGGTTGGAATTAATCTGCATCTCTAGCCAGGGTCTCATGCGCATCCGAGTGATGGGCATGTTGGCTGTAAAGAGAAGACAGAAGGCTCCCGTTTGGAGTCTGTTGAACAGTCCTGGGCATTACCCTCCCCCCCCCCCCAGGTCACTCAGTTACCCTCCCTCCCCTAGAGCTAGGTACCCGGTCCTGACAATCGCGGGGAAGGGAGCTGCGCTGCAATAAACTGCTCTCCAAATCCTGGGAGAGCATCCTGGGCAAAACACCTGGCCCTTCCCTTCCCTCCCTGCCATTCTCAGGAAGAAATAGACGAGCAAGTGACAGCTCCGGGATTTACGTGCTGGACGAGACAAAATGCATAGGTATCTTAATACCAGACCGTCTCCCTAAAAATTCAAATCCTTTGAGGATGGAAAGGCTTCTTTTGCTTGATGCCAAGAAGAAATGTCTATGACTTGCGTTGTTGCCACTAGCTACGCACCTTCCCTAACGGCCGATTGGTCACCCTACATCCTGGACACCTCCCCCAACTGCGACCCCCCCCCCCCGCCTCGCATCCATTCTCTGCCTGACAGCCACAGAGCCCGAAACCCTAAGGCCGGGACACAATCCTTCCCAGAAAGGCCTGGTTTCCTCTCCTCGAGGGAAGTGGCCAAAGGAACACCTGTGGCGTCTTCGCGCGCAGCCCCCTTAAGAGCCCCTCCAGCCGCTCAGGGCAGCAAGCACACGGAGCCCGAAACCTGGGGTCTGGGCGCCAAGCTGGGACCGCCAAAGCCGGTGCCAGAACACTGGGCGCCCACCTGAGTCCCCTGCGTGCGCTGTGGATGAGAGCGACGGTCGCAGCCGGCCACCTAGAGGCCCGGCAGCGGCAGCGGCGAGCACGCAGCTCTGCAAAGGCAGCCGGGCGCCGCGAGCTCGGGCAGTGGGCGGTCCACGCCGCGGCCCGCCTCCCGCCGCCGCTCCAGCGCCCTCGCGCGCCCGCGGCGCCCGGCTGGGCTCCCGGCCCCCACTTCCTGGTGTCCCGCGCGCCTTTTGTTCGACGAAGCGGCTCCCCGCGGCGAAGGCGCGCTCACCTCTGCGACAGGGGCGACCCGCCGGCTGCGCCCAAGGGTCCCGGAGAGGCGGGGGCTGCCGTGCGAGGCGGGCAGAGGGCGGAGGATGCCCGGATCCTGAGGCCGCGCGCGGGGCACAGCCGGCTTCGGCTGGACGCGACTCTCGCTGGCCTCGGCTCGGCTCGGTCCGGCCCGGCTGGGGCGCACGTCCTGCCTCGACGAAGGAGTGGCGCGCTCTGCCCCGGCCGCGGTGCGGAGCAGCGATCTAAACACTTAGCGGGATTCCCCGAGCCCGGCCGGGCCCCGCCTCCCCCGAGCGCGCGCACGCCCATTGGCCGGCGCCGCCTCATCACTTCGGGGAAATCAGGCTGTTGTAGAGCTAAGCAGCGAAGGGGAAGTACAGGGCAGCTGCTCCTCCCCGCCCCCTCCGCGGCGCCAAGGCCCGGGGCCACCGAGGGCCCGCCCCGCGCGCCACTCCACCCCGCTCCCGCCCGGGAGCGAGGCTGTCCTGGAAAGCGGAATGCCTCGGCCCACCGCCTCCCGGCCTCCTGGCTCCCTCGGCCCTCTCCGCGCCTTCTGGGGACATCTAGCTCCCGAGCGCAGGAAGAAGTCACCTGGGCACCTGCTGCCCTCCGCACCAGTACCGAATCCCTGAAAATCAGCTTGGCTCCCCAAGCCCGCTAATGGGGTGTCCAGAAGGGTGGGTTTCGGCCTTCGTGGTACCTCTGTCTAGTCCCACCCCAGTCACTCACCTGCTCCGGAGAGGCTCCGGAGCCAAGCACCTGCCCTGCCTGAGGGCCTGCTGCAGGGGAGGAAATACTAGCCTGGCAGCTTCAGGCACCGCGACAAAGCACTCGACCTCGGTTTCCCTGCCTGCAAAAAGACAGGAGCCGTACCTTGCTGGTTTGCCTATGGGAAAAGGAGATGTTTGCAAGGCACTGTGCTGTGGTCTGCAAGGCGGCCGACCCTGGGTTCTAAAGGTGATCAAGGCCACACCCTGCCCTTGGCCACCCTGTGTTCGGGGAAGCAGTGGTGGTTCCTCCTGTCGCTCCTGCCTCCGGCCATTTCACAACCTCTCCTGCCCTTGCTCGGACACTCCTCCGAGTGGCATCCTGCTGGCATCTCTGGGTCCCCAAGGCTTGACCCTGGAGGGCAACACGGAGGAATTGCTCAGGGCTGGCCACAGCTAGGGATCTGGCCAAACCGTTCCAGCGTCCAGGTCCATGCTCCTTGGTGAGGGCAGCAATTTAACTCTGGTGCTCACAGCTGGACCTCACCCCAGGCTGGGCTGAGTGCATTTTCCATGCAGAACTCTGGCCCCTCAGGCTTCTTCCTTCAGCTCCCCAAGCTGCTGACTCAGAAGTACAAGTCTCTCTCTCTCTCAAGTGTGTCACCCTCACCCAGCCCTCCCTATAAATAGACATAGGACAGACCCTTTCACTCCCACACAGCAGAGGGGAGTTCCGGTGGTGCGCCAGGACTAAGTGTGGTGCCCAGGAGACCAGCAGGAATGGGTCCGAGCTCTCCCAGGTGGTGGAGGGTCGGGAGGCAGGAGAGGCAGGCAGAGAGGAAGGCCTTGAAGGAAGGAGCCCAGCTGGAAGCTAAGGGAAGTGGGAGGCACCCAGGCTCGGGGATGGGAGGTGGGTTTCGGGTGCTTTGAGTGACAAGTGAGAGTGAGAATCTGCTACAGGGACCTAGACCTTCTCAGCAAGAACAGAAAATAAGTAACTCATGGGTCACGACATCTGTTCTTGGTGTAAGAGACAGATTCTTGTCCTGACCCTGGAGGACCTGACAGCCACTGGAAAATTCAGAATGAGATTAGGGAGAGGAAATTTTCAACTCTCAGCCTCAGAAATTGACAACAGTGATCCTGAAGGCAACGGGGGATTATAAAAGTTTTAAAACAAATTTTATATTAATTCAGATAATCACCTGTAATATGTATAATGTATATATAATGAGAATCTTTACATGTTAAACATACATGTGTGGTATTATTTGTAATGGGTCCATATTTTCTTTTATAAGAATAAATGAAAATTTACCCAATTAATCCCCTGTTGTAGGACATTTAGGTTATTTCCATTTTTTCCACAATACAAACAATGTTAGCTAAATCTTTGCACACATCAATAATTTTTGGCTTAGGAGAAATTCCCTCGTGTTAGGATTTACCAGTGAAACTCATTTATATCTCAGTGTTTTAAAAAATTTTTTCCCTCTTTAACACTAGGAATTCTTATTTTATTTTGAAACCTATAAGAATCTGCTTACCCTTGGGTGTGGTGGCACAGGCCTATAATCCCAGCACTCTGGGAGGCTGAGGCAGGGTGATCTCAGATTCAAGCCCACCCTGGGCAATTTAGCAAGACCCCGTCTCAAAATAAAAATTAGAGAAAGGGCTGGGGATTTAGCTCTGTGGCGCTGTGTCTACCTGGCAACCACAAGGTCCTTAGTTTGATTCCCATACTGGCTTAAAAAAAAAATTAGAAAAAGGGCTGGTGATATAGCTCAATGCACAGGGCCTGGGTTCAATCCCCAGTACCACACACACACAAGCTGTTTATCATGATTGGGAATGTTATACTCTAGCTAATCCTGTTTAATTACCCAAAGTGTTTTTTTGGGGGGTTTTGGTATCAGGTATTGAACTCAGGACCTTGTTACTGCCAGGCAGGTGTGATGCCACTGAGCTAAATCCCAGGCCCCAGTACCCAAAGGTTTTATTGTAACTGCTTTTTTTTTTTTTTTTTTTTGGTACCATGGATCGAACTCGGGACCTTGCACTTTCGAGGCAGGTGGGGGAATCACTGAGCTAAATCCCCCGCTGTAACTGCTTTTGATGAATCCTCCTCTGCACTATCTCACACATTCCCTGTGATGCTAAGCAGATCGATCTCCTCTAGTCTCGTAGTAATTTGGGGCAGGCCTTCTTCCCTCTGACCCAAAGTATCACAAAATTCTTTTCGAGTTCTCGCTATCTGGTCTGGGGAGGTGTCCTCCCAACCCGAGGACCCAAGCCCTGCCTGCTGCTGAACAGAGTTCCCCTACAACTCCATTCCTAGACCCCCCCCACCCCGGAGCCTTGTGCTTCCTGCTGGAGTCTCTCACTTCGTTTGGCCTCACCTGGTCCTCCGTGGCTTCCTTTGTGTGTCAGGTCATGATTTCATATTCCAGGGCCGAACTGGACCGCTGTTACCAGAGCCTCCCTGGGGCCCCTCTCCCTCAGACCTGGCAGGAAAGAATGCCAGTGGGCTGCCACAGCCCACTGACACCACCCAAGGCCACCAGGATCCTTCTGCACTCCCCTACACGGCCCCTCGGCCCCACATTCAAATCCCTGCTCAATCCAGTCCCTTCCTCCTGTCACAGGCCTGCTCTCTCCCCACAAGGCTCCTCCGTCTTTGACAATAACTAGAAGGGGGATAGGGGGTAGAAAGAGAACACAGGCTTTGCTGAATGCTTGGGTTCTCACTGTACTTTTGCCTGCAGTATAATGTAGGAACTTCCTGTGAGTCTGTCTCTCTCTTTTTCTCTCTGTTTCTTATCTATAAACTAGAGATAATCTCTGCCCATTTCTCCCACTTGGGAAGATTAGGAGTGGCCTTTGCTTTGACTGTTTTGACTGCAGGAGGCCCCAGCGGGACCAGACCAAACCAAAATGGAGTCACTCCCACCAAGTGGCTTGGAACTGACTGAAAATTTCAGGAAGCAGATAATTCCCAAACCAGATCACATTTTCCTAAAAACAGGAGACCCTAATTACTCAAATTAGCACACGGAAGTCCTTTCTGCTTTAAAAACATAACCTGAATTATCCTGGCACTAACCTGTCAGGTTTCCCCCCCATATTGTTTCATTTCCTTGTTCCCAGCCGACAAAGCCCACTCTTTTGCTGTTACCCAAAGGGGGCTCTCATTCTATTTAGGAGAATGGAGAGCACCTGGTTCATGAATCAGAAATAAAAGCCAATTAGATCTATAACTAAATTTATAGTAATCTCGTCCTTTGACAAGACCGAATTAGTGGACTATCAAAATCCTTTCCAGGGCCGGGGATTTAGCTCAGTGGTGCCGCCGCCTGCCTCCCAAGTGCAAGGTCCCGGGTTCGATCTCCACTACCAAAAAAAAATCCTTTCCGAAGTGGACAGCATCAGTCTGAAATGTGTTCGCAGGAGTGCACCGACTTTTCACTGCACTCCGTCCTCCGCGCCTGTCTTTCTCCCTGAGCTCAGGCCTTCGCTCCGCCTCTCTCCCCCTCATCCCAGTCTCCCCCACACCGAGCCACACTCACTTTTCCCTCTCTCCCCTCTCCACACATCCCAGTTTGTCTCTGTTTAAGGCCCACTCAGAACCCCCAAAGCTGCCAACCCAGAACTCCTTGGCTTTATCTTTCCTACGTGCTATCTTTTCACCCTGTATCTTCTGAGTGGTGCGGTGGGAACACAATCTGCACTTTTTCCGCAGGAGAGCGGAGCAGGCTCTTTACACCTCTCGGCCTGCGTTGGCCGGGGATTAACCGAGGGGGACGCCCCGCCTGCTCAGCACCATCCACACGCTCGACGCGAGCGGCCGGCTGGTCCCCGGGGTGACTTGAATCCAGATGCGGGGGGCAAGAGCTGCAGAGACAGGCGCACGCCCGGCGGGACCCTCCCCTCTCTCCCTTCCCCGCTCCCCTGAGGGCCGGGCCCGGCGGCCCGCTCTCGGGCTGTCTGTCGGAACTCACCTTCCCGGGGCCCGGGCCGACTGGTGCGGACCCGGGCCGCTCCACCCCACCCCCCACCCCGCGCACAGCTCGCTGAGCGCTGCGCCGGTCCCTGCGTCCCCGCTCAGGAAATCCCTTTTCCGTGGATGCGTTGCACCATCCTTTCTCGGCGTATTCATTCTCTCTGATAGAGGTGTTTCTTGGTAACCTCCAGGCAGATCATCTGCTGACTGACGTGTGTGCGGAACAGGAAATGCTCTCAGAAATCAGACTTGGGAGAGTTGGGGTGCACGAGGCTCGCCCTTCAAAGCAGACAAACCTCAGCCTGAGCCCCAGCCTCGAAGGTTCAGAGCCGAGATGCTCACAGCCCCTCCCCTGTCCCCCACTTTCACAGCAGACCTGGGGGCAAGCAGTGGTAAACTGAAGCGCGGAAGACAGCAGGCATAAAAGCAAAAGCACCCAAAAGCTCGATGAAAGAATCCAGTCACTACCCCCCGGCTTGCGAGACGCGTAGGTAGGAAGAAAATCTTTTAATTCGTTTCACGCGAACGAATCACGCTCCTGCTCAGGGTCTACTCTGGGTTTGGCCCCGGTGGTTCCCCGGGGCACAAGACCAGCCCCTCCCCTCTCCAAGCGTTCGCAAAAAATGCGGCATGACACAGCAGAATCCGTGTTGCGCTGTTAGAAAATCCCGAGTAGAGTGGAGGCTGCAGCCGGCTCGGAAAGCGCCCAGGACGGAGGGCCGCTCCGGGCGGGGCTGTTCCGGGGCCCCCGCAGCCAGCGCCCGAGGGCGTGGGGCGCGACCGCGTGGGCCGCCGGGCCTCCGCGCGACTTTCGTTTCTTATAAACACCGCGTTGGGAGGAAAGCGCTAGGCTCCCCACCCGCCCGGAGGGTGGCGAGGCCGGGGGAGGTGTCGGGGGCGGGCCCGGCGGCCGAGACCCTGCTCAGGGCGCTCGGCCCCTCTCCGCCCCGGCTTGGTGCCCTCTCCCCCAGGGGGCGCACGCGCGCCGACCCGGCTGGAGTTGGGGGCGTCGGGAGAGGAGGGGCGCAGGCCCTGGTGCCCAGCCTCCACCTCGCCGCTCCGCCCCAAATGGGGCGCGGGGCCGCTCCGGGCAGGCGGGAGCGCCGCTGACCCTAGCTGCGGCCCAGGCCCCAGGCTCACCTGCGGGTGGCCTGGGCGCCCCGCCTCCCGCTGCGGCCAGGGCGTGCGCGGCCTCCAGCTGCAGGCTGTGTGACCCCGGGCAGGTCGCCAGACACCTCTGCGCCCAAGACACGCCGCCGCCGCGAAACTAGCAACGCGGGGTGGGCAGGGGGCAGCTCTTTGTAAACGCTCCTGGGCCCCCACACTCCGCACCCCATGTGGCCAGTACACCGCGAGCCGCCTCCCAAGCTGCAGGCGAGGCCCCGTTAGGTCACTGCCGCTGCGCTCCACCGCCCCCTGCAACCCGAGAGACGCGGGTTAGGTTTGGGACTCTCGCGTGGGAGGCGCGGGGGGTCTGAGCCTCTAGGAGATGCAGCCCGCTGGGGTCCGAGCTCCCCGGCCCTGCGCGCACGCGGCTTGGTCTGCCGGGTCCACCGGGGCCGGGGGCGCGGGTGCCCTCACCCTGCTGAGAGCAGCCGGGTCCCGCGAGGCCGCGCCGGAGGGGCGGGGCTTGGGTTTCGGTTTCTTGCAAAAGCGGAGGCCACAGGGAAATCGAGGAGTTTCCGGGAACCGCACCGGGAGCGCTGAGGTCGCGGCCGCGGGGGGCGGGGACGGGCGGGCTTCCAGGGTCCCGGGGCGCGGCGCTCTGGAAGTTCCAACGGGAGCCGGGAGCCGGGGAAAACCGGTTCCCAAAAAGCCCCCCATGGTACACCTGCCCTAGTGCTCTCCGAATCTGGGGTTCACCCAGAAGTCGGGGCTGGAGGGGCCCATGTTTGGGAGATGTATGCGCGGGAAAGGAGGGCCGGGAGCGGGCAGTGGGTCTGAGGAGGGGGAAGACCCCTTCAAACGGCCACCCAGGTCCCCGGCTGTACCCCTTGCTGCCGCCTCTTGCCTCTTGACTGTTGTCCTGTGGTGAGCGCCTCTGCTCCCTGAAACTGCCCTCGGTGTCGGCGTCGGCGTTTGGGTTATGTGTTGGAAGATGTCCCTACACGACCCGGAGCCTCTTGGGAGTGTGAGCCCCTCCTGCAGCCCTGCCTGCTGGGCCTGGTCTAGGAGGAGCTGACCCCAAGGAGGGGCTCGTGAGGAATTCTTTAGAAAATTGAAGAATGGAGTGAGTTTGAGGATCTGCGGGCTGCGTGCTCGTCCCCTGCCCCTCGCTCCCTCAGAGCCTGTGGATGACCCCGGATGAAGGAGGGCCCGCCGGCCGCCGTAAGAGAGATCTCAGGCCCTTTGGGAGGAGGGCGCCAGAAGGGGAAGGGGAAGGGGAAGTCACGGCACAGGAATGTTAGCTGTGGGGTCGGCCACTTCCTTCCCTCCCCAGGGCTTGGAGCTCAGGCCTGGGACGCCTTTGGGTGGGGCCTTGATCAAGCGAGGAAGGGGTTTGGGATGGGGAGGCAGACCCCAGCACCCGCCCTCACCTCTCCAGCCCAGGCCCTACCTGGAGTCAAGGTGGGCAGTGTCACCCTCAAGCCTGTGTTTCCTAAACTCTGGCCTCTGCGGCTGCAGGTGTGTGGTGGGGGCCTCGCTCCCTGTGGTCCTGAGACTACAGCTCTTAGAAAGTCATAAACCAAACCCGGTGATGTTTCCTTGTCTGGAAAGGGGAGGAGGTAGCAGCCCTAGCCCTTCTGGAGGCAGCCAGCTGGCCCCGGGAGGAGTAGGTTGGCAGGTCCTCCGGCATCCTCCAGCCCAGGCTCAGGAGCAGCGCGGCCCGCCTGGGAGAGGGCCAGGGAAACTCCAAAAGCTGCAAGAATGGAGCTTGTGCTGTGAGCACAGCCCCTGGTGACTGGTGACTCAGCCTGGGAATCCCGTCTCCAGGGGCTGTCTTGAAAATCAGGTCCAGGGCAGTGAGGTTAGTGAGGCCCCAGACCAAACAGGTAACGATATGCTTTGCCTTCTCACATGCCCCAGGGCTGGGCCCATCGACCACTACGCAGGGCCCTGCCCAGTCCAAATAGCATCCTTGCGTCACGGAGCCCAGCCCCAGTCCTAGCTCACAAATTGGAACTGGGAGGGGACCTGGTCCTCAGTGTCTGTGTGACAGGAGGTCGCGTCTCAGAAACAGCAGATGTAACAAAAACTAGAAAACACCAACAGGAATGTGTCTGTGGGTCCAGCCCAACAAGAGCTGGGTGCTAGGTACGTTCATGGAAGGAAAACTGGTCAAGAGGTAGGTGACGCTCCGGTGATCCTGTGGGTTCGCTGCTGTGGCTTCAGGAGCCAGCTTTGGCTGGGCAAAAAGCAACCATCTTACGTGAACCAGCATGGTGTGGACTGATGGATGGATGCAGGGTCCAGCAAGGTACACCTTTTTCCCGGAAGACAGTCTCAGCAATGTGACGGTTTCTACAGGAACCTACATCTGCTCCAACGGGAAGGAGTGAAGGATGTGGCGTGGCTTCCTCCAGCCCTGGTGCTGTTTCCACCTGTCTCTGCCTCTCCAGAGGGGACTTGGCGCCCTTCTGCATCACCGTGTTCACACGTGTGACCCCTGAAAGTTAGGCTGAATTAGCAACCGAGTGGCAAGGGCTCCCAGTCGAAGAACATGGGACAGGGCAAGTGAGTGCCAGTCTTCCTTCTGGAAGGCAGGTCTCAATGTAGATGGGACCTCAGCTGGCCATAAGATGGTCCAGTCCTTTCTGGACCTGTCAGTCCTCAGAAAACATCTGTACACTGACTGGTTAACCTGCAGGAAGAGTGAACGGTCCACAGAGACCCACCTGCCTGGATGGCCCAGGAGAAAGCATAACTAACTGCCCTTTGTCCAGCTCGACAGGTGATACACCAGTAAGCGTGTCACACAGTGACGCACACTGCAAGTTCGCCCCTGTATCTGATAGCCAGCACCAAGTGCTGCACTGAGCCTGTTGTAGAGAACTGGAGTCCATAACTGGGGCAAGAAGTGGGTGGAGATATTTTGGGAGAAGGCTCTCCGAGCCAGTACACCTCTAGTGACTGGCTACTTCCAGGAAACAAAAGCCAGCCTTGCTTCCTTGAGAGCCCTTGTGAATATCAGAGGCTTCCCACAGCCTTGTGAGCTGTGTATGAGGCTCTTACTTGGCTTTTAGTGGAGCGGGTGATTTCAGAAAGCTGAAGACTTAGGAACCTCCCATGGTCACCGAGTGTTGCTCAGCCCTGGACCTGTGCTGGGGGACTTAGAAGCCAGGGCCACGGTCCCCAACCCTAACCTGCATGGGAGCTGTCCTGAGGAGCCACCTCCCCCGCCCCAGCACTCTGCCTGTGGAGAGCAGGGATCTAGTAAGTGTGGAATGACAGATGCACATCGCACCCAAGTATGAGGCAAAGGGACAGAGATGCTGGGGCTGTGGGCACAGGAGCTGATTGTCTCACCCGGTGCTGATATAGGGAAAATAATAGAACTCTCGAGCTGCTAGATGTCAGATACGCTGAGGTCATGTTCCCCAAAATCAAAGAATGAATTCTAAGGAACAATGGAGGTGAAGGGGAGGAAAAATTAGTGTGAGAGAGAGAGAGAGGGAGAGAGAGAGGGCACTCCTGAGAGACGGGAGGGGACCTGAAAGTGGGTTGTCATGGACTTCACTGCATAGAGCAAAATCACAAGGTGGGTACAACATGGGTCAAAAGTATAATTACAGGTACAGCTGCTTAGGAAATATTGACCCAGTGGGGAAGCAGGTCACGTAGTGAGTATACCTAGAAAGAACAAGGACCTTTTTAGGAAGGGATGGATCGGGAGGTCCCAGTCACCCATGTGGGTGACTGACTGATGTCTGTCTATCTAGACTATTGGACCAGGTGATATCAATTATAATCTAATCTTCAATTTATTGCTTAGCCCTTGGGGAGGCATGTAGGCCTGGTCATGTTGTCTTTATCTTGAGGCCTGAGCTTTGACAGACGCCCTCCAGCCACAGTTATGTTGTATTTTCATCTTCTGCACTGACTCCCTCAAGGGCCCGGTGCAGTCTCACTCCCTGTAATAGTTCTCCCTACCTTACTATGTATAATAGAATGACAGACGGATGTCATACCCAAGCAGGACAGGAGCAAGTTGTCTCAGCTGGTATTTGTGGATGGCTACTCTGAGGAGGGGCCACGAGCAAGCCCTAGAGGGCTAAGCCAATGTACAGTAGGCAAAGAGCAGGAGATGCATTCCAGGGTGCAGGAGCAGCCCCCGGAAAGACCTGAGGACCACAGTGCAGGGCGGACCTTGCTCTCCATGTGGCCTGGGTCGGCTGTCCCAGGAGCTGAGCTGCCCCCCCCCAGGGCCCCCCCGGAAGAAGCCATGTGCCGTACATAGGGCATGGGCTTTGTACTGGCAGACAGCGGCACTCAGGGCAGCACTGACGGTTCTCCCTTCTGGGCCCAAGGCCCAGGCCAGGGTGTCTGTTGAGCCAAACTCCAGGCTGGGCCCTGTGAGGGCCACTGAGGGCTGAGCTGTGCCCTGGAAAGCTCTCTGTGACTGCCTCGGAGACAGGTGGCACCAGGTAGAGGCAGGAATCTCCTTGCACTGAAGGAGGCACTGGCTGTCAGGAACCAGCGACTCGTCCTTGTTGTAGGCTAATGTCTCGTGTGTCCTTGCCCTCTTTTTCAAACTATCAAAAGATGATGCTTCTTCGAAAGAGAGGACCCAATAGATATTCTTACGTCTCCTTTAGATCAGTGCCCTCCTTAGCCTGAACATCGGCCTTCTGCAACCCCAGAGTGTAAGGGAGCAAAGTCTGGGTGGTGACGGGGATGAAGTAGGACAGAAGAAATAAAACTAGGTAGAAAGGAGAGCAGGAAAGCGAGAATTTAAAATTGTACTTTTGGGCTGGGGATTTAGCTCAGTGGTGCCCACGGCTGCCTTGCAAGTGCAAGGTCCTGAGTTTGATCCCTGGTACCAAAAAAATTGTACTTTATGTACATGTACCAACTCCTCATGAGGAATGTTGGTACCTTTTTTTTTTTTTCCGGTACTGGGGATGAAACTCAGGACCTTGCACTTGAGAGGCAGGCTAGGTGCCACTGAGCTAAATTCCCTGCCCTAAAATTGTACTTTTAAAGAGAAACTGCAGCTTTAGAACATAAGCCTGGTCTATTTACTTTTTTTCTTCCCCCCAAACAGCAAACCTGGGCAGCTCAAGAGCTCCAAACTGGTCCTCCCGTTCCCTTTTCACCTGCACATTGCCCTTCCCCACAGCCCAGAAAGCAGCTGCACTGGAGATGCATCTCCACTTCAAACCTGTGTGGGTGGCTTGCATTGTAACGCAGCAGACAGCGAGACTACAGATCCCAGATCACCCATATTGAAATCAGCCTGTAAATGCCCCCACCCTGGCTTGTGCCTCGTGCCTCAGCACTCTGAGCACCTGCATGCCACTCTGCAGTGTGTCCTGTATCTCCCTCTAATAAATCCTTCTCCTGCCTCTGTCACTGACAGGTCCTGAAAGCTCTTTTTCCGTGATGGGAGTCAGAGAACCTGCATACTTATTTTAAAGTTGTGGGTGAAGGTCCTTTCAGCCTCGGGGACCCTCAGACCCAGCCTGTGACACCAGCACGCAAAGGAGGCACTCACTGTCGGGAACCCACGCTGATGTGTACCAGCCCGAGAGTGGGTGCTTCCTTGAAGGAATCAGCGGGCACCTCATGGGTCTCACCCTAGCCCAGGACACTGCTGCACACAGGTGCCAGACAGGGGGCAGCTCAGGTGACCCAGCTGGATTAGGGCTGTGGCCTAAGTTGGCAAATATTTGGAGTTATCTTGGCCATCCCCAAATCAGAACACAAGATTTGAGGATGGCCAGGATGTGGGATGGGCTAGAGTGGGGGCCCCTCAGGCCCTCCGTGGGTTCCCTGTTCAGGGAGCAAATATGCCCACAGTCCGGCCAAGGCAAGACCTTGGGCCTTAGCTTCCATCCCAGTTTGTA